GAATATCGCTGCTGTTCCCAATCTCTTTCATTATTTGCTTTGCCAAAAAGCTGGGAACTAGGAAGTCATTGACTTCCGTTTTCTCCAGAGCCTTCGGCTTCCGGTTAGTTGGAGATGTTTCGCATCAACAGCGAAAGAAATCTTCGTCAAGGGGATTAGTACGGGTTTTTCAGCAGAAAAAAAAATGCTGAAACACTCTCTTTCCCGAGGGAGTAAAAGTTCTGTGCTGGCAACCGTTAAAGTGCAAACCACTCTTGCACAAAATTGGACAACCATTCAACAAATAAAAATTTAGCTACAAGCTTCCTCGTCCAAGGAAATATGAATATTGATATGCGGCACAACAAGTTTTTCAGTTTCCATGACTACGTTATGCCAGGAGCTATACATTGCAGTGATCGAAAGATTCCGTTATAATTTTGATTTTTTTTTTCTTAATTCATAAACACAATGAGATGTACTTTTTTTCCCCCAAAAAACGTGTTATTTATTGTACATTTTATTAAGAGGTGATGGCATTCCATGGTGCGAGGAGTGACGACATATGTGACAAGACTTCTATATTTACCTTGGCACAAGTAAAATATAACACGATTTCCTCAGCAAACCGTTTGGAAGTCGGCTGTCAAACTTTAAGCGGCAATAATAAAAATACCTGATAAAACATTGCGTAATGACAACCCGCTCGGCGTCAATCCGCACTTCGAAACTCAACTCGAAATCGAATCAAACTCGAATAATTCATGTAAGTTACGTGTCGTCCTAAAATAAAACTTAACAAGAGCTACGCCCAAAGAAATGTCCTTTTAACTGCATAATCCTTATCATTTCGATGCAAAATATTCATAATGGCGATCAAGGATTACCGATGCGGTCAAGCAAACAATTTTTCCGTCAGTCAAACCCTGAAACACAAAGGCGCTGTTATTTAGTATGCCTTAATCCGGGCACTTATGACAGACAAGCGATAATTTACATCACTTGTTTCCGTTTCTAAAATTGATTCACGTCTGACATTTCTTCCGAAGTAGAGGGATTATTGAAAAAAGCGTGCTCAGCAACGCGCCAAAGCTGTTTTAAACCTTGGTTATAAAAGGTTACGATTACTCTGCCGTGCGGCTCCCTGCGTTGCGCTCTAGAGGAATTTGATTGCCTCTAAGCTTCCTCGTTCCGCGGAAGTCTAGGTTAGCGTCGAATAGGAAAACATCAACCTACGTGATTGTATATCGTTCAAGCTCTGTCGTCCATATAAAGCCACGATGGATCAGATAAAAACGAGGATTACTCTGTTGGTTACTATGATGTGGATCATGTCTTTTACGGTCTGTGTGATCGCGACTAGCTCACAAGGTAAACAAATTCCTTGGCCTGTTTTATCAAGAAAGCAGAAATATAAAACCTTTTCATGTTTGTTTGCTTCTCTAGTGCAGTTTCGTTTCTGTAATGTCAAGCTGATTTCCTTCAGTTGAGAATAACTTAACATATCGTTTATCTCTTTCACACGCAAACTGGTCAGATGTTCCATTGAAGCTTTAGTAGAATTCTGACACTCATGCTGACAAGGAGCCCCTGTCAGCAGCAATTTTAACTAAGCCTTGAAGCGGGAGGCCTTCAAGTCCATTAAAGACAACATTTAAAGGTCAAAACACATTAGACTTCACGGATATTCGTAATTAAAACTCAATGGTTGCGTGATAAGATTTACTTTCATAATTTCCTGCATTTCCTTTATCCAGGACGTTGTAGCTCAGACAATTATATAAAGCGACGAATAATGCATTGACCTGTTTATGTTCCAGAAATGCAGTCATGTATAAAACACAAAGGTTCACAATTAATTATGTCAAACATCTATTCAGCTTTTCTTTACGGATCACACGCTCTGCTTCACTTAATGATGATTAATCTGTTTTCCGGGCTTGAGATTATGAAGCAGACGAGCAGTAATACTTTATTTCCTACTTTCAAACCGTTCTGTATGGGCCTGTTGTTAGCTGCATTGAAATCATTCTAGCACTTAATGCATGGCTTTAAGTTTCAGTAATAAAGGTTGTCTACCTTCCAGAAAACTTATTTCCGTAAATTGAGAATTCGTCGGTGTAAAGCTTAAGAACAACTGAATTGATAACACAAGCCATTTGGATTTTAAATTAGTCGAAAGGAATATTTATTTACCTCTGACAAAATGATTCAGAGCGATTTGTATGAATTAACACGAACGCAAGTAATTTTTAATTAAGCTTTTGAATAATTCATCGTCGTTCGTCTAGAACCAAAGATTATGAAAGAACCATGTTGACATATATATACGAAAATAGCTAAAAGAAATTATTTCTTTGAGAAGTCATCCCATGCAGTTATGGTTGATCCGCACATTTTGAAAAAACTGCAAGAAAAATGTCAGTCTAGAAACTTGATTCCTGTGGTGTCATTTTTCAACTAATATTGGAGACAGGTCAACGTTCGCCGTGGACCGGAAGTGCTCACTTGAACAACTTCAATTTCATAACTGCGTTACTCCTATCACGAAGTCAAGGCTGGAAAATCTGACTAAAGCGCTTTCTAATGTTGTATGTGACTGTGTATAACTCAGTATATTTTCACTAGTCGCGAATAATGTTTTCTCTCGGTCCTTGAAACCCG